GAGAGAGAGAGAGAGAGACGGGAGTTCCTGACAGCGTTTCTCCAGCACGCGTTTGAATGCACGCGGCTTTGATGCAGAAATAATTGAAGGATTTGAACATGATCTCAGCGCAGCACCTGAGAAGCTGCCGGCCACCTGTGCTATGTGTTCAGATACTTTACAGTGTTCTCATACTGTGGACCAAAGAAATGGATGGACTCTCCGATTTCTCAAGTGAGTCAATAATGTAATGATGATTAACAATAAGTGCTAATGTTATGGTTGCAATATTCACTAAAGGCACAGTATTTAAAAAGCATATTTTAAAAAGTATATTCATTTCTGTAACATTTTGTTGAATTGTGTCATCAATAAAAAACAAATACATAAACTTACATGTATGGGTAAGTGACAAATGTTTGTTTTCATGATGGTCTGATACATTTAAAAAAAAAATGTTTACAATAATAATTGAGATTTAATGGCTCTAAAAATGTAACAAGTAAAAAGCATCCAAATAATTGATTAAAGCAGCGTAATTGTATGCATGTATGTGTACATATATATATATATACACACACACTTTTGTAAGTACACTTTTTTGATGTTAAGACCTACAAAAGTCAAAAACTAGTTAATTGTAGAAGAGGTGTATTCTAATTATATTTGGCATTACTTCTGAATTTGCATTTCTTGATGTATTTTTTAATTACATTAAAAATGAATCAGATTGCATTTCTTAATGTATTTTGAAGAACTTATCGTAGATCCAACCTCCCCACCTTTTCGTTAGATTATCTGTTTAGGATCATCAACAGTCAATCAGTTAAAGCCTGTGATGGAGATCTCCTGCTCCTCAGGTGTCCACGACACTCCACCATAACTATTCAGTCTGCATTTTATGGACAGAGTGCAGCCCTTCCCGGGATCGTGCCAGGAATGAGATGCCAATGGCGTAATCACAGCTGTTCTGCTACCACAGCACTGCAGGTGAGTAGCCTGTGCTTTGCTTTCGGACAAAAAAACAGACCTTTCATTTTACATGCACTAAACGCCAACTTAATAAAGCCATTTAGTACCTGTTAAATAGTCCCATGGTGAAAACAGGACTCTGTTCTTATTCACTTCTGGCTCAGAAAAAAATGTGTGTTTTCCAGAATCATTTCCCCTGCCTTTTGTATAATGCGCATTCTATGGTCTTTGATTATTCCTCTCTGTTAGAAAGTGCTCTCTGAATGCCAGGGTCATAGAAATTGCCAGTTTCTGGTCAATCATCAAGTCTTTGGCATAGATCCTTGTCCTGGAACCCCTAAATACCTCCATGTATCATACAGGTGTAAACCTAGTAAGTACTTCCTTCTTTAAAGCCTTAATTGATCATTTCTTCTTCAAATATTTACTTCTCTACATCAGTAAAGATATTTGTCTTACAGCAGAGCACAAGAAGAGAGTAACATGTGAGGGAGATCAACTTTTGCTGCACTGCAAATATACAAAAGTGCTGAATATCTACTCTGCTGTTTATGGCAGACAGTTGGAGGGGGAAGATTTGTGCCCATCAGAGGAACAACCTCCACCATTTGGTACGTTTTTTGGGGGTTTAAGTAAGATTTATACTTAATATTATATTGATTTAATGGGACAGTTAGGCCCTTTGCAGTTAGACAATTTGCTGTTAAATTAGTATAAAAAAAAAAGTTACATTTGAGTGGTTTAATTCTGATAATTAGGTTTATCAGTGGTTATTAAATGTGTTGCAGGTTTGTTCTGAGAAAACAAAAAGTAAAATGCATAATTTAAATATTGTATTGAGCTATAAAATGATGCATAGTTAGGATAAATAGGCAAATTTTTTATGAATTTCATTAAGTTATTATGATTAAAAGGTATTAATACATTTGTATATGGTTGAATCTATTGTAATATTCATAAAAAATGTTTGATTTTGAGAACATTTTATTTTTTATAAGACATTTTAAATATTTTTTTCTCTTCATTATTGCAGAATGTATTTTTCACGGAGCTGTTGATGTGGTATCCAACATCTGCTATGGAAAACAGAGGTGTTTGTTTACCATAGATGAGGCACATTTCAAAAACCCCTGCCCTCCTGGAACAAAAAAGTATATCACTGTCCTCTATGCATGCGGTATGAATGCTCTCATATCCATCGAAATCTTCCCAAAGCAAATGTTTGAATGCGTTTTTTAAATGTCTTGAATTTTCTGAACACAGTTACAGTATGGCGTGCCATCTTCACGACGTGGCAGATCTTTAATCAGTTTGAGATTTTAAATCATTGATTGAAAGTGTGGGAAAAGACTAACATGTGGCCTTTGTCTCATCTCAGATTGTTGATTTACCTGTCTGTTTTCTTCCCGTCTCATAAATTACAATGAAGACAAAAGTTGTTTGGGAATAAAAATAGGGAATGAGCCTGGCATTTGTAGGCCTCAGGGCTTCCTTTAAAACTTCCTGTAATCGCTTTGAATTCCAGGCTTTTGTTACTGATTGGAGGGCAGGATCAGTTCACAGGAAAAATAAAGATTACTCATCAGATTTGCATTGAAAGATCCTGGGAGATACCACCCGAGAGTTGGAAGATGTTAACTCTTTGTACTGTGCCTTTTTTAAGTTCCAGAAAGTTTACTCAAGGAGGCTGATCCCAGCAGTTTCCAAACTACCTCAGTTCCTAACCAGAGCACAAAAGAAGGTGACAGTACACAATACAATGTACTTTATATACATATACAGTACACCATACCGTTTACTTTATATAGAACATCTGTGCAGTTGAGGTAAATAAACTGTTAAATTATTTTTTATCGTTATTCATAGGGGAACACCCAGTTATCAGAAGTTCAAAGTTTCCAGAGAACAGGATTATTGTCAGCAATTCTTTAATGGCATATGGCTACATTACAGGTAAACTGAAATATTTTAAATGTCTTAAACATAAACATGCCTGGATTCTTTTTTTTCTTCTTTTCTTTATGAGCCCAGTCAACATAAAGCAGCCCAAATGGAGGAATATATTTAAAAATATAGTGGTATATATAAAATATTTTATATAACTAAATGAGAATGCTAGCATTATTTACTCAACTTCAAGTAATTTCAAACCTGTTTTTATTTTGCCCATGCAATATTTTACCCATGCAATACAAAAAGAGAATTTTAAGAATCTTCATGTATTATTTTTATATTTTATTTTAAGCCCGACATAGTCAATTAGAATTACTTTTATGTGGAAAAAATCCTCAAAATTCTCCTTGTGTGTTCCACTGAAAAATAACTGCATATCACTGTAAAAATAACTTTTCAAAGTTGTTAATAAAACAAACATTACTGGTACATTTTACAAGAAAATACATTTCAGTCTACTTCAAAATTTCACATTAAATTAGATGTGTTACTTGCTGTTTCTTTGCAATTGTGAAATTTACTAGCAATTTTAATAAAATAGGAATAAAAATAGTTTCAAAATTTAATCCAACACTAACTTTGTGTAGGCATTTAGAACGACATGAGGGTAATGAAATAATGTTTTACTATTCTTAACAAGTACTCACAAGTCACAAGGACTTTTCTCTTTCTCTCAGAGCATCCAGAGATGGCAGGACTGCTTTTCACATCAAGTGTTTGTGTGGGACTTCTGA